CCCACCAGCCACTCCTCGGAAGGAAGATGGGGCAATCTACTTCCGTAGTGATACTGCCTCAGAAACCCAAGGAGGGGTCGCTATGAGTCGGGTCCCACTCAACAGCACGTAACAACAGCATGAATTCCATACAATGTCTTGCAAGGGAAATTTTTTTATGTTAAGAGGTACAGAGGAAGGAGAAAAAGCTGTTTTTATTTAGTTGTCTTTAAAGCCTATTCTGTGTGTTTTTGAGGGGGTTATGTGTGCAATTTACTGTTGTAAATTGATATGCTGTAAAACATTTGTCATTTCAATATTCTTTATATATACAATTCAGTGACTTTATGTTTATATTGTTCAACCATGGTCATTATCCATTTCCAAATTTCTCCATCACCCTTTGGGAACTCCTGGAAAGGAAGATTGGGCAATCTACTTCCCTAGTGATACCACCTTGGAAACCCAAGGAGGGGTTGCTATGAGTCCAATCGGTCTTGACAGCAGTGAGTTTGTTTGTTTAATGGAAATTAAAAATTTAAAAACTAAACTGTGTTTAATTTTAATTTAGTTGCCGATTATCATCTCAAAGTCTTCCTTTGGCTTGTCTTTAAATCCTTAATTTTTACATTATCGAATTACTTTTAATCTACGTTTCCATCACCACCAATTACCATCTAGTTCACTACGACTCAGGGCAACACCATGTGTCAGAAAAACCAGTGTTTTCAACGGATGAGTTTTTGGAAGTAGATCACCAGGCCTTTCTTCTGAAGCTTCTCTCAGTGGACTGGCACCTCCAATCTTTCGGTTCGCATAAATTGCTTATACCACCTAAGGGGACAAAACTTAAGTTTACAGCTGTTAATTAGTATCTAAGAGAATAATGTAACTAAGTGGAAAATTAAATTATGAGATAAATCTAAAAGTGAGATTTAAAACAGGTGTTACCCTCTACTTGACAAAGCGATTAGATATCTGAAAGCTATAAACTGAAATTACGGTTTGAAAATGAGAAGACCAGGGAGGACACCAGTGCCAAACAAACACCCGGAAAGCGCTTTGCAAGACGCTGATACCCCTAAATCTGATGTGGGCTGGGGGCCTGGCGGAATTCAGCAGAAGACAAATGCCTAAACCAAGTCAAACACACAGGAAGCAGGTAGGAACTCGGGCTCTGCATTTTTATCTACTCAGTCTAGAACCTTGTAACACACATAAGTCACTGCTTTCGTAACTGGTGCAGATACTGAGCGCAGACACCGTTCAAGTCTGTTTTGGACTGGAGCCAACCTGTATTTGCCCATTTCTACTTAATTGGATTTCTGGCATTTGCTTTAATTCAAATTTGTCCAGTATAAAAACCGGCTTTGGTAAAGGAGATCGGCGATACAGTAGGTTATCTTCAGCTCGGCGCTCTTTGCTCACACATCTTTTATAATCCCTCCAATCCGTTGGGTTCCCAGACACGCGCACTAGCGCACAAACAGAACTAACTGTCGCCGGGATCGAAGAGGCGCCAACAGGTCGGGAATAGGGAAATGAGGGGTCAGAAACCCACCAATAAGCTGTGCAGCTTGGCCTACACCCCGCCCACGATCTCCGCTAACTAACCAACGCGTTTCAAACTCTTCCGCCGCTCCCGCCCATTCATAGTGCCGCTGCAAGGCAATTTCTGGACACTTAAAAGTCTGCGCAGAGAAATCCTGGAGTATACGCGCGCTTCCTCCGCTCTGCTAGGCAAGAGGGCTTTCTGTCCTTTCGTCAAAAGTGGAAAAGACGGCGGCAGCCACCACTGGAAATCCAAGATCTCAGAAATAACTCTGATTGCCCAAAGCGGCAGCGAGAGGAAAGAGGAAGGCATCGTTACTACATCCCCCACAGCCAGTAGTTTCCCTTAACCCGGAAGTAATTCTCACTTCCTCCTCTTCTTCTAGGGTTGGAAAGAGAGGACGAGCAGGTCTGGCCCGGCATGCCCCGGGCTTCCGGTGACCTCTGGCCCTTTTCTGTCGTCCGCTGCTTAACGTGCTCTTTCGCTTACCTTTTGCCTTCCCTCCGTGGCTCCCATCTTCCTTCGCACGCTGCCTGGTGACTCTGGCGCCCACGACCAGCAGAGAGATTGTGGCGGAGGACACTCGTAATGGCCGCCTCTAAGCCTGTGGAGGCGGCGGTGGTCGCGGCAGCTGCTCCGGGATCCGGGAGCGGGGTGGGCGGCGGCGGCGGCGGTGGGACAGCAGGCACGGGGGGCCTACCGCGATGGCAGCTGGCGCTGGCGGTCGGGGCACCTCTGCTCTTGGGTGCAGGTGCCATGTACCTGTGGAGCCGGCAGCGGCGGCGCGGGGAAACCGGGGGCCGGGGTGACGCCGGCGGCCTGAAGCGCAACAGTGAACGGAAGACCCCAGAGGGCAGGGCCAGTCCGGCCCCTGGCAGTGGACACCTCGAAGGCCCCGGTGCTCACCTGGAAATGGTGAGAAGCAGCCCTAGGCCATGGAGGTGAAACTTGGCTTGTGCAGTTCAGGAGTCGCAAGCTGTCGGCCTGCCGCACATGGTTTTAGGGCTACTCGTTACTGCTACCTTTGTGGAGAATGGGGTAGCCCAAGGGCATAGGTTAGCGGCATTTGACAGTTTAATCGTGGTTTCAGAAAAATCTTTCTTTTTCTTCTCAGTGACACAGCATTTATCCCTAATGTTGTAGGTACAAGGGGCATTTCCTTATGAGATGATTGTGTTAACTAGTGAAGGAAGCCTTAACAGTTGGTACGTTGTGAAAGAAATTGCTTTGGTAATTTCCAAGGCTTAGAACTTAATCGAATACTGAACCCATTCCACTTTTTCGAAGAGGTGGTTTTTTCTTGTTGTTGGGAACGTGAACAGATAGTGACCGATGATTGACACAACCAAAAGAATGAATTGGATGGAGCTCTGGTAGCATAGTGGCTAAGGCACTTGACTGCTAACCAGAAGGCTGGCGGTTCAAACCCACCAGCCACTCCTCGGAAGGAAGGTTGGGCAATCCTACTTCCGTAGTGATACTGCCTCGGAAACCCAAGGAGGGGTCGCTATGAGTCGGGGCTGACTCGACGGCAAACAACAACAACAACAACATATATACCAAAAAAAAAAACTAGATTCTAAAGAATGAAATGACATTTATGTGTCATGTATGAAGTGAGTTTCTAAACTTGATTTTGGCTGGAAGTATCATGAATTCATTTTTTATTTTACCTGGAAATATACATGACCAAGCTTGATGTGTGCTATTTACAGTCCCTGATGTTAGGCCAGGCATCTACAGCCTGATTTTTGCAGGATTTCTTGGAGTATCTTGTGAGCTGCTTTGTTTGGTTTTGTTGAACTGACTTTGAAATGTTAAATCCTTTTGTTATCTGACAGCTGTGCGTGTTATTGCCCTGGCTGCATTTAACAATACCAAGGATGAGTGAAGTATTTTATCTGCGTTCAGGATTATACAGTGTTCCAGAGTAAATCGAAGTTCACAGAACTTTCCTTTGTTCAAATCCTTTGATCAATCCTTTGATCAAATAAATCCCAGTTTGAGAATCATTGATTTATATACATAATGCAAGTCATTTCCACTTTATACTCTTAAAGTTGAAGACATGTTTTTACCAAGTTGTCAAATTAGCTTTAAAGGAAGTTTTGGTGTGAGAAGGAACTGAAATAGTTTAGCACCTACAGAGTGTCAAGGTAGGCCATGAGAGAGCCAGATAATCATTTTGGGAGTGTGAAACATCGCCTGCATTTTGAGAGCAGAAAAAATGTGTTACAGTGTGGTAGAAAGACATAGACTGTGAGAGCTAGATGTGTCATTTAGGTTGGGTTCTCCAGCGTCGTTATTTGGGAAAATAATTTTTTATCTACCTGAACTTGGTGTCATCCCTGTAGAATAAGAGAATTACTGTTAGAATTAAGATACTAAATCTCTCCTATTTCTTCCAGCCCTAAAGTTGGCAGTGCTGCTGTTTGCCTTGCAGAATTTGTTAGCTTGTATCTGAAATTTTGCTTTGAATTACTACATCATTCAGTAAAGCAAGAATAAGAATATCTTTTTTTTAATGGAAATTTTTATCTTAATTGTTGATGACCAATAATTACTTAAAGACTATATATTTTTTTAATAGTCTAGGGTTATTAGCAGACTAAATATCTAAATAAAACTGATCACTAATTATTTTATCTGTGGTTGGAGAAATTGCTTTGTAAGTTTGAAGAGTGAAAGAATGGACAGATATTTTCTTTTTAGGGTTTACTATCAGAGACTAGAATGGAAAACCAGTGGTTTTTGTCTACTGGTTTATGTTTGCCTCAATGTAAAATAAATTAATAGTATTATTTGGCTTCTGTCCATTGGGTTTGAGGTTTTCATGTGCAGTGTAGATTATATCCATTATTTTGGGGATAAGAAAAACTCTTAAAGCAAAAACAAGAATATTCAGAGTTTTTGTTTGTTTTTAATTAATGGAGATTTTAGGATATCACTAAAGAAAAGCATCTCACAGTTGATAGCTTCTGAGATTGAGGTGCTTAAAGTATTAACTTACGTTCCATTTTGAGCCTTTATAAACTTTACCAAGATGTACCATTTTGCTTCAGTGATTTTTTTTTTTAAACTTAAACCATTACAGATTTTCAAAGTTGGAGGATTCTTTGAAGATCATCTTATCCATAAGGCTTCTTCATCTCTGGGCCTGAATTATCAGTACACTCATATATAACCAAGCATGGCCTCCTGGCTGTACAAATGTCTTAGGTATTTCTGTTTTTCAAACAACCTGTGCTTTTTTAAAAATATGTACATTTATTGAAAAGCATTCTTGACTTAATAGTAATTTTTTATCCAATTTTTTAAAATAACTGATCATAAAAATAGTTAATAATCTAGTGTTGAAGTTTTTTTAATGTTGCACAGAGTTTATCCTACACAAAATGGTTAGGAAGCACTAATCTAACCCAGGTCTCTAGATAGGAAGGGGAAAATATACCTAAATATTTTAACAATGACTGAGTAATTAGCTGTTATTAGTTATCGCCCTTGAAATGAAATCTTTCTGCCCTCCAGATGCTATCTTTATAATCATTTAAAAATCAGGGTCACAATGACATTGCTGTATAATTATAGCAGATACCTTTCAGTTCTTATTTTACTTGATTCTTGGTGCTTGACCAAAAGCTCAGCAGTTTAAACCCACCAGATGCTCTGTAGGGGAAAAATGAGGGAGTCTGCCTCCATAAAGATTTACAGCCTTGGAAACCCTATAGGGTCTTCTAATACAGTGGCTTCTGGGATACCACACTCTCCTGTTTTGTTTCTTTCTTTTCTTTAACTTCCTGATTACCTGTGATTCTTGCTCAGTCTCCTTTTTAGCCTTTTTCTCTGATTCTTATACTGTATCTATTCCCTGGATGCTTGCTTACCCTCCAGTGGTAATTTCTTGTCTCTAACCCAGGCCTCTCATGAAGCCTAAACTTAAAGTGAATCTTCACTTCATTTCCTCATAAGTATTTTACACTCAGACTCCTGTTTTTCCTGAAAATATCTCTTGTTGATTAATGTTTCCCAACATTACCTAGTAGGAAACTGGTTTCCCTACTCAGAAGCTTCTTACTCATATATTCTCCCTCTGATCCATAAACATATCCAGAAAACTCTGTATCATAAATGTGTTTTAAATATGTAACTACTGCATTCCTGAGGACATAAAATACTTGCCTTCCATGCAGGAGACCTGGCTTCAATTCTTGGCCAATGAGCATCCCCACTCTTCTGTCAGTGGGGGCTTCCTTATTGCTATAATGCTGAATATGTTTTAGTGGAACTTCCAAACTAAGATGGACTTGTAAGAAAGGCCTGACAATATACTTCCAAAAAATCAGACAATGAAAAGCCTATGGATTACAATAATTCCATCCCTAATTGATCCTGAGGATGGTTTAGGATTGGCCAGCATTTGGTTACATTGTGCATGAGGTTGCTATTAGTTGGGGATTGACTCCACAGCAGCTTATAAAAACAACTCCATTTCAGCTGCCACTACCCTGGTTACTATTATCTTGACAGTACTACTCCTAATTATTGTCTCCCTCCAATCCATTTTGTGTCCTGCCAGAGTAAATCTCAATAATATCATGCGTAAAACCATTATACCGTTTTCCATTTCATTGCCTACGATACAAGGTTCAAACTCCTTATTGATATTTAAGACCTTCCATGATCTTGATCCTACTTACCTCTTTATCTCTTACCACTTTTTCTTGATTCTGACCTTTGGATGTTCTGTGAACACTGCTCAGACTCCTGTTGTCTCGTCCTTCAGGTCACAATGTGGAGGTCATTTCACCTTTTCTGAATCCTTTCTGCACATAAGCACACCACTATGTGATTCCATAACACTTTGGATTTTCCTTTCTCTAGTATGTACCACATGGTATTGAAATTGCTTATTCAGGTGGCTTTCCTACTACATGTGATAAGGCTAAAAAAAAAAAAAGAAAACCCAAACGCACTGCCATTGAATTGATTCTGACACATAGTAACCCCCATTGGGTTTCTGAGGCAGTAAATCTTTACGGAAGTAGATTGCCCCATCTTCCTTCCACGGAGTTGCTGGTGGGCTTGAACCACCGACTTTCTGATTAATCCCTTAGGCACTGTGCTACCTGAACTCCTGTGAATGCTAGAAAGGCTCTGTCTTACCATTGTATTCTCAGAACCTAATACAGTGCCTGGAACATAGCAGGTGCTGAGTGAATGCATGAATGAAGCTTTATTCTATGACTAAAAATTAAGGGCTCCTTTGACACCTGAAGAGGCGCCTTGGTGGCGCTGTGGTAAAAGCATTGGGCTGCTAACCAAAAGGTGAGCAGTTCAAGCCCACCAGATACGCCGTAAGAGAAAAATGAGGCAGTCTGCCTCCATAAAGATTTACAGCCTTGGAAACCCTATAGGGTCGCTATGAGTTGGAATAGACTTAATGGCAGTGCATTTGGCTTTTAGGTTGACATCTGTAAGTTGATATGTATGTATATATATATAAAATATATAAATTTCACAAATTGTATATTCTTTCTGATTTTCCAGCTCTTCATTACTATTCTACCAATCAATCCTGGAAATATAAAAGTCTTAAACTGCATTTAGGTGTTCTTACAAATCACTTGATTTTGATTAATCTATAACCATAATTCTACAGAAGCAGCACTCTTAAAAGCTGGTTTTTCTCAGGTAAAGAATGTTCTTTGTTTTGGTTTAGTAAGTGGAATTGGTTGTAGATTTTTTAAATTTCAGGACAAAGATGAAAAACAACTTTCTGATTAGGTATTTTCTTATTCTAGGTTTGATTCATATAAAAGTGACAATTTATCAATAAGATATTGAAAGATTGTTTCTTATACAGATTGTGTTCTATAGTTAATTGCTACTTTTGTGCTATTTCTGTAAAGCTAGAT